CAGCCATAATGAGCTGCCATGGAACCAGCCATGATCGGACCCAAGAAAGCTCCCATGAAGTAGCCGGTGCTGCATTATACGTGAGAAGAAGTTCGACCGCGTGAGGAAGCATCACTTACAAGTATACACCCGTCCAGAGACCCCTCTCGTGCTGGTAGAAGACATCGGCAATCATCTGCACAGGAATACTCTCGCTCGTCGCACAGGCCAGACCGTTGACCGCACGCGCCGCCAGCAGACTGCTATGACTGGTCGCCATCGCCTGCCATACGCATGACAAAAGAATGAACACAGAAAAGGTCAAGCTGATAGCGCGTCGACCGAAGATGTTGGAGAGCGGCACGATGATGAAGTTGGCGAAACCGAGTGTGATAACGGTGATGCCAGTCAGCATAGCCAACTGATTGTTGTTAAGGTGGAACTGGGCGCCCAGAAGAGGGAACATTGGCGCAATGGATAGTGCGCCGGTAACGGAGATCCAGGTGAAGAGCCATTGTGAGGCCATCACCATGACTGTGGTATCTGTCAGCGAAGACTCAGGCGTTGGTGAAGGGTCAATATACGCTTCCATTTCCGGGTCCAATTCAAAGGGTCGCGAGGATCAGAAGAGGGCCTGGGTATGAGCGTCGTCTGCGCGGAGCTATCCTCATTGATAATCTCCGTACCAGGGATAAGTTCAACATCGCTGTGGTTGGTCGCCATCTCGAAGTCGTTTGTCGCGGTCTATCTTCCGTGTCTTGATCCTTCCAGCACCGAACGCGCGGCGAGCCTGTCAACTTATACGCCCCTCCATGCTCGGCAATGTTGCGCTCCACGGTTCATGGATGTCTAGTTTCCCGCGGATGATGCATCACTCGGCTTCCAGTGCCCATGTAGTGAGACACCATTTGCTGCGACGATCAGCAGTCACCGTTGATCCATGTATTGAACTAGTCGTGTCAACTAACGCAACATCTGGCTATATTAGCGAATGATGGTGTCGTGAAACCAACGACATTCGTGCCTACAAGACGATTATTGGACCTGTTCGCACTTCCGTAGCGCATTCACATATCCTTGCTAAACGATCATTGGGGAACCGCTGGCTGGTTGATACAGGGACTGCATATGCTTTTCGAGCTGCAAACTTCATGCGCTGGGTCCGCGAGGAAGGGAAAGTTGCTTGTCGTGCAGTTGCTCGACCCGCCAATCCTATCCCTCCACCTGCATGATGCGAGGTACAAGGCTGACGTCCGAAGAACCTTATCAATAAGCTTGTGCATGGCGCATTTTACCCTGTCTTCAGCCGAACCATAGTATACTGTTGCAATGGCATGAAGTAGTCTTCCTCTCCGACGCAATTCGTTTGGCATCGGCTCTAGCGTGTTATTTGCTTCTCTTCGACCCAGAAGGTGCAACTCGACGTTGTAGGTCTCTCGGCGCATCGCTGAAAGTATCTTCGCCTTTCCAGTATCTCATCAACATCGCCAGCAAGGTCGTATAATAATCAAGAAGCTTTACTCTTCTCGGCATTGGAAGTGGAGACCCATCGTGCTGGTGGCGGGCGCACCATTCGGGAGGTCGCATCCTGGCACCGGAGAATGTGGGGATGCGCGCGCTGACGGACTCCCGCTACGGGGACGCCACTAGGCAAAACACCACGTCAAAGTTATTAGGGCTACTCGAACAACAGCTGTCTGGTCTGAACCTTGGTGCTGGACTATTGCGGAAGACTTGGCGGGAATGTTTTGTTTTGCAGATTGCGGGTCGTGCCGAATTTGTCGCGGAAGTGCCGTTTCGAGCGCACCGCCGCGTTCTGCGTATCTGGTATACACGGTACTGCAGGGCGCATGAGGAAAAGGTACGATCAGATTCTAGGGGTCTGTTTAATGCATGTCTGCGAAAAGATGAAGATAGATGCGCCAGTAAGTCGCGACGATGCAATCCCGATAAGAACTCGTGATAATCGAGGACACGCCTCGCCTCCAGTTCTACCTTGCAGGAAAGTTGTGCCGCAACATCTGGTACATCGATAGCTGACAGCAAAAGTAACCCCACTTCAATAGTTTCACGAGATGAAGCATTGGATGAATTGACTCCGCGGTCAACTTTAAGCGCGGTTTTGTTTTGGTATCCTACCAATAGTAGCTGAATGTTTCCAGAGCTTGTTGCGCAACCAATCGCATCCCTCGCAACCACACTTGCCTCAGAGCTTTGCTGAAACACCGACGGCTACTTCCGTTGTTCCAAGGAAGATGCGCTTGTCCATACTCGACAGTTCTTTCCAATTTTGAGAGCGCGGATGCGTTTGTGGTGAAAGTGCCTTCAGGTGGATCCATCGTGCTGCGATCTCTTGTGCAACAGGGTCTGGGTTTGCTTGCGCACCGTACATCAGCGCGACGCTGCTGGCGATGGCTTCGAGATGCTGTAGAATTTCTCGTCCACGGTATAGCAGCTCTTCTCTCTGTGCATTATGAACAACGTCGTTGAGCGCCTGAAGTCTCTCTTCGACAATCGAGACTTGATCTTGGAAGATGGGAGCACATCGACCGAGCACGTTCCTGACCCACGGTGTGAATATGTTCTTCATGATATCGCCGCCGCCCATTCTCTTGTCAGTGAGTACCCGAACGACATCTTCTGCCATGACGCTGACAGTGCCTTCCCATATCGGATTGACGAGGTTGTCGCGGTAAATCTTTGCAATGTTCATCAGCCCGCCATCTTCGTTGTTCTCGCAGTACCCGACACCACCAAGGCACTCCATGCACTGTCGCAGGCCATCAACGGATGCGACGCTGACTTGAGCTTTCATTACGGGCAGCAACAATCTCAGTAAAGCCGCTACCGTGGTTTTGTCGCTCGGGATCAAATGCACGGCTTTTGTATTCGCGACCATCTCGTGCCAATCTTGTTCCAAAGCGCCCTGTAGAGCAACGCCGAGATAGGTGAAGTGCGCACCGGCCCAGTACTTGACTGTTTCTTCGGCCATCCATGCGAGATGCGCTGGGTTGTCTTGGAGTAGTCCGCCGCGCACTTTGCGTACTTTGCTGTAGGCGCGGGAAATCGCCAGACCACGAGCCCAACTTCCTACACTACCAGCTGCGGTATATAGTCGCGTGATGTTGAGAATGGCGGAAATCTCCTTCACACCCTGACCTTCCTTACCGATGAGCCAACCGCGTGCGCCGTTGAGCTCGAGCTCCGCAGTTGGTAGTGACTTGGTTCCGAGTTTGTTCTTCAGACGCTGGATGCGAACGCCGTTGAGCTCGGTGAGGGGCGGGGCTTCTTCGTTTACGGTATGACTCTCCAGCGCTTGCGCGCCCACGCGTCGTCGCATGGGCATGTAGAAGGCAGACAGAGCGCCTTTGTCTGTTCGCGCGAGGAGTACAGCCATCTCTGAGTCCGTTGCGCTGCTGAACCACTTGAAACCATGTATCTTCCAGGAGCCCAGTTGCATACCAACTGCATCGCTATCTCTTCCTTGGTTTGCATCTTCTTCCAGCTCCTGCGGTGTCATGCGTCGAGCAAGTGTCTCCGTGCCGGATACATCGCTTCCGCCAGATCGTTCAGTCATCCATTGTCCGCTTGTCCAAGCCACATCAGGGTCGCGACTACACACTCGCCGATACGCTTCCCGTAGCACTTCGCCTCGACCCGGCTGATCGCCATCTTCGTCGTTCTTGTGTTTGTTCAACAATGTCGCGGCGCCATCGGTCATGCTTTGAGGGCATGCGGTCATGGTACCAGTCGGGCCCCATACATGGCCTCCGACAAATTGTCCCACGCGTCTATTGAAGTGGCGATGAGACTTGTCGTAAGCTACCGAGACGACACCTTCACGATAGCCGATCTCCTTTAGCTTCTGCCATCCTGTCGTCGTCCACAACGGATCGTTCTTGTTTTCCGCGCCGAAGGTAGATAGCGGACGCAGTACAGGGTGGTTGGTCTCCGCATCCGTGGCGTACTTCAAAATAGATGGATTAAGTGATAGACGTGCTAGGTGATGGACACGCTGGGTAGCCTCCGTTGCATTCTGTGGTAGGTAGAGATCCAATATCCGCGCGACCACTTTGTCGTCAGAAGCATCTGTCGACTTCGAGTGCGAACTGCGGAAAGCCTCTGGTAGTGAGGTTGGGTTCGTGTATTGTGGCGGAAGTACCGGAAGGGCTTGGAAGAAGCCTGTTGTTGAGGAGGAAGCCTGAGGTGGCTGTTGCGTCATGCTGGCATGCAAAGCAGATACGCAATTGAAGTAGAGACGGATAGAAGTACCTGTCTCCAGAGAAGAGACGATACTTGCACGACGCACATGGTGCCCAGCTTAATGGTGTAGATGTATTGGCGCTCGGATGTCACAGACATCCTCGGTTCACCCCCGCAACCCGCTCAATGGGGCAGTCGCAGCCGGACTGCAGCAAAACCGCCGAAAGCAACACGATACTTTGACAACCTCATCTCTATTCTGAACTTAAAGTCCATGGCATCAGTTGGAAGGATGAGAGAGCGAAGACAGAGGCCGCTGCCGTGCGACGTCCACTCGCGGTACCAACTCCCGAGATTCTCTACCGGATTCTCTTGCCCTGGACTTGTTCCCCCATGCTTCAGACATGCCGATGGCTGCAGCAATCTATATCAGACCTGTACGATGACCGATCTTGTACTGCAACATCCCTGTCGGCAGTCTCGGGAGCGAAAGCTTGTTGTGATTTGCCTTCGGTATTGTAGCTGCAACTGCCGGTAACTTGTGTTAATTAACGACTTCATCCAAATGATCGAGTCGAACAATCGCCACAGCTTCGTTGTGGAACGAACGTCACAAGATGTACGACTGGAAGAACTGTCGCGTTGTCATTGGTATGAACGGGAGGAGAAGTACTACTGCCGTCACACCATAATATACTCACTGATAACAAGCCTCCACCATGGATGGACGTCATGAAGCCTCCTTGGCTTAAGAAGCGTCGTAACTTCGACCTGATGGCTTTCGCAACTCACCATTAGCTAGTCATACCATTGTCGTCATGATTTGGTCCACCGTCTTCGCCAGCGCGCTCTTGACGCAATGCGTCTCTGCGCAGAACATGCTGCGCTTCGCCTGCTCGCAGCTCACCGTTGAGAGGGCCGATCCGTTGGTAAACCCCGGCCAACGACCCTCGCCACACACGCATCAGATCATCGGAGGAAACTCCTTCAATCTCACCGTAATACTCCTCCTGACTCATGAGCGACACGTCCACTGACAGACCATAGATGGAGCCTGGTGTCTTTGATCCTCCGACACGTTCGACTTGTACGTCTTGCACATACAGCGAGGACTTCAGCAACTACTGGACTGCCTCGCTCTACTTCAAATCGCCCGAGAATGGCACATTCCAACGTGTGCCACAATTCGCCAACGTAGGGCTCCAGCAGGACGGTGGCATGACGGTGTACTACATGCCGTACTCCGCGAAGAACAACAAGATGACGGCGTTCAAGCCTGGGTTCCGCATGATTGCGGGTGACCCCATGGCTAAGAAGCCCAATCGCGCAAGCATCTGCCATCGATGCTTGCAAAATGGAGAAGGCTTTGCACCATGTGACGCGAAAGACACCGCAGAACTGCCCAACAAGTACTGTCCTGGTGGCATCAGAGCGACTGTCATCTTTCCGTCTTGCTGGGATGGGAAGAACCTCGATTCGCCAGATCACAAGAGCCACGTCGCATACTCCAACGGCGGAGGTCTAGGCACCCCAAATTGTCCCAGTACACACCCGGTAGCTATCCCGCAGGTGATGTACGAGATTATGTGGGACACCGGCCGGTACAAGAACAACGCATGGTACGGCAACAACAAGCAGCCGTTCGTGTACAGCTTTGGCGATGGGTAAGCCTCCTCTTTGTGCTTCTTTGAAGATGACTGACCAGAGACAGGACGGGCTACGGACAGCATGGTGACTACCTCTTTGGCTGGAAAGACGACTCGCTCCAGAAAGCCATGGATGCTTTGCCTAGCGGCAAGTGTGCGAACGCCAACTGTCAGGTGTTGAAGATCCAGTCTGCGCAAGACTCAATGAAATGCAAGAAGCCGCAACAGGCGGTCGAAGATGTCGGAGTGAGCGGTGACTGGCTGACGGAGCTTCCTGGTGGTATGGCAGTCACCTATTGAGGATGTTTTATTAGCATAACTAAGTAGATGTGAGCGCGCCTGGGAATGTAAGCGCTACCCATTGTATCGCGATCACAAAGCGCATATTCGGCATACTCGCTTCCATGCAAACATGATGTTTTTGGATAAGTGCAGAGGCAGTGCCGGCTGCCGCGTGTGTCGCGAGACGGGCGTGTTGTTTTGTTGGGAGACCCGAGATTTGCCCGTGAAGGAACGCCTTGGCCCCGCCAAGCCTTACAGTAATCGGGCACTAGATAAGCTAGTTCGGCCGATGAGCCACCCCACTAAATTTATTTAAATTTAGAAATAAGGCTGCGCAGCTACCTATAAAAGCAATTATTGCGAGATTTTTTAGTGTATTAATCTATAGATATATATAAAACTTTCTATCTAATTAAATTTTGCTAGTGTCTTAATTTACTAGCTGCGTGTTATTATTTTAAGCAGTGCTAGAGAGGGCGCTAGTGTAGGCGTAATACTATTTCTACGCCTAATAATATAATAACGCAGTGCTTTTTTTTTAATAGCGCTTTATAAGGTTGTTTGTAAGACTATACTTAACCTATTCTAAGCTTTTTTTAGTGTTGTAACAGCTTATTATTAGAATTTAAGCTTCTTTACGCGGGTAGCTTCTTTAGCTCTTACTTTCTTTACTATCTTAGCGTTCTTACGCTTATGCTATTACTGCGCCTTTACCTTTTTAGCTATAGATTTTTTATATACTACTACTGCTGCCTTAATCTCTCTATTGCGACTTTTCTAGAGTTATAGCTACTTAGCTTTATTCTATTTTATAGTCTTGCGCTTTTAGGTAGCTTATAAACTCTAGAGACTCTAGAATTAAGCGCTACCTTAATTCTAAGTATTCTAGTAAAGTCTAAGAGTCTTACTCTGCTTTATACGCTCTTTTCTAGCTAAAAGCGTAGTTGTAAAAGCCTTGTTTTTAACGTAAAGCAGCTTATTTTAAGTTTATAGTCTATAAAGTGCGACTCTAAGACGTTTAGCTTTAGAACTTATTCTTTCTACTACTATAATAGCCTAAATTTTTTAGAGCTTGTTCTAGCTATTACTATTACTATTATCTCTAATTTTTAGACTTCTATCTTATTACAAAGTAGTAGAGTTAAAGCGCTTTAGTATAATCTCTATATCTATTAGCTATACTCTAGTAGCTTTAAAGCTTTGTATAATAAGATTCTACCTTATTATAGTGCTCTAGGCAGCCTAAAAGATAATAAAGAAGTTCTGTTTTATTACTCTTATTAGCTCTAGTAATTGCTAGAGATAGTAATTAAGTTCTAAAGAGTAGTGCCTTACTAAAAGCGTAAAGATAATAACATTAAGTAGCTAGAGACTGTAGGTTGCGTATAGAGAAAATACTAATAGTAGAATTTAGTAGGCGTTATAATACTCTATAAATTCGCGCGTTACGTAGCTGCTTGTGAAGGTCGTCCTAAGATAACCTAAGAGTTAGTTCTCGGGGAGTGAGTAAGTGAGGTAGGACGGGTTAGTGTACTAGCACGATTGGTAGATCGATGTAATAGTACGAGGGTGTAATAGCACGTTTAGTAGGGGGTATCGATTCTTGACCGTAATGTTGTTAAGTTTTCGGTAGTTAACGCACATTCTTAGTGGTTCTCCTTCCTTCTTTAGAACAAAGAGTATTAGGAATCCTGCTAGTAAAGTAGAGGGTCTAATGTAGCCTTTCTTTAAGTTAGTTGTTAGCTTCTTCTTTAGAATGTTAAGTTCTATTTCTGACAAGGAATAGATCGGTCTGAAGGGTAGTTTCTTTCCTTCTTCCAGGACGATCTTGTGGTCCTAATCTTAGTGCTTTAGTAAGGCGTTGCTATCTACTACTTTCGCAAAGAGATGTTTAAATTCTTTATACTCTTTTAAGATGCTTAGAGTTACGCGTTTCTCTAGAACTCTAACTTTGTAATTAGGTAATTCTTTTCCCGTATCTGTTAAGTTGAACCTTCGTTTCTTAAAGACGTTCTTAGTCGAGGTTAGTTACTTTGCTGCAATTACGTTAATCTTCCTCTTATCTACTATTAGCTTTGTGCGATGCGTAGGCATGCTTGTAGTTGCGTCTAATCTACAGCAGTTAAACAAGAACTCCCTTAACTTCTAGTTAATTCGTAGGTTATATTCTTGTAACTAGGGTAGGCCTAATATAATATTGTAGGTAGCTAATCTGAAGACGTCTAGGTCTAGCTTCTCCTAATGTCTATAGATGTTAAGCGTTACTCTAGTAACCTTGTAGGTAATCTTTGTTTCACCTAGCATAGGTTGCCTGTTAGCAACAAATAGGGTGTAACTCTTCTTCTTTCTGCGCGGTTTAAGCCCGGCTTAAAATACTGTTCGTGCAGAGATATAGCTCGCCTAAGCTCCTAAGTCTATAAATACCTTTATCTATACTTTATTAAGCTTCGCCGGAAGCCTAATAAGTTCTAAGAAGTTTATGCTGTTAATCTCCTTGCTAGCTCCTTCTGTCGGGAGTCTTAGTCTAAAAAAGCCTTTCTAAATCTGTAGAAATCTTTAGTAATTATGTGTTTGTCGCAGTTAGGGTGTAAGCAGATGTACTAGTTGTCTTAGTTACACTCTCGTGCTAGTTGTCCTCTAACGTCCTTCTAAAATACTAATTGCATTTAGAGGATCTCTTGTAGGTCGACGTGTCTAGGAAAATAAGAGGCGGTTCGCTTGTCCTATAGGTGCACTAGGCACACGTTAGTAGTGCATTCGAACTAAGACTACTTGCACTTTAGTGTAATCTTGTTTAGTCTAGAGTTCTATCCTGCACCCTGTTTATCGCTGTAGTAGATAGAGCAGAAGTCTATTACACACGTTATCTACGAAAGTTTATCGTGTGCGGAGTTCCTGTAATCTATCTAGTATTCGACTTCTGTAAGGCACCTTTCTGTAGGTTACTTCTTCTTAGACTTTAGAGGTGCCGCCTTAGCTTCCTCTTGTTCTTCGTCCGCGAGATAATGCGTAGTTTGTTCTCTCTATAATAATATAGCGTCTATAGTCTACTTACATATCTTCTTGCTATCGTAGCCTATCTTCTTAAGTTCCTCTAGGAGATTGTAGTATTCGTTAAACCTTTTAAATTTGTTAAAGAAGTTCTTAGGTTTAGGGAATTCTTTTAGAAGTCTTTCTAAGTATACGAGTAGCGTGTTAATTTTAAAGTCCAATCCCTTAGGGCATTAGATAATAACTTTATTGTTACTAATCGTAGGGTCCTCGTAACTCTCAACAGCTCGCTAGATCTAATCTAGTTGTTTGGGGGTAGGAATAATATCGACGATGTGTAGTAGAAGGTTTTCCTTGTCTTCTATTGCTTGTTAGGAGAGGTAATAATAGTCCTCTCGCATCTTAGCTATAATGTCCGGGGTCTCGTAGGCATACTTAATATTAGGTTTATTAAGATGTCGCAGTAGCTAGTTAATTTGTAACAAGAGTTAGATCATCTAGTTCTCTTAAACATGTAGCGTAGATAGTCTGTTATTGTTCTTAAACAGATCTATCTTTCTAAACTTAGTTTTGTTAATTTCTGTAACCTCTATAGGTTTCTTAGATTCTTCTTTAGAGGTGCTGCACTCGTCCGAAGAGACATCCTCTTAGGTAGTTTTGTTAGGGGTTATAATAGACATGTTACTTAGTCCGCTAGTTAAGCTTTGTAGCTGCTTGCGTTAAGGACAGTAGTTAATGCTTTATACTGCTCTCTAGTCGTTAGAGTCTGCAGGTTGTAGGACATTTAGCTATCGTACTACCTTGCCTTAGCTCTTGCAGTCCCTTGCTATGTAACCTAGTTTACTACAGGCGTAGCAGTTAAAGTTCTTCTTTTTCTACTTCTTATCGTAAAACTTAGGTCGTCTAGGTCCCTTGTTAAGATTATTAAGGTGCATAGGTTTGTAGCTATTAGTAGCGTACAACCCTAGGATCTTAGGTACATAGCTTCGTTAACGTCCTTAGTTAGAGTACGAACAGCGAGGTTTAGTATAAACCTGGGCGTTCCTGTTCGTGTTCTCTAGTACTTGCGTCCCCTGTGCAAATAGTCTTTCTTCTAGCTTTAGTCTGTAGAGTTTGTTGTTAATACAGATAGCTTTGTTCTTAAGTTCTTAAAGCGTGTTAATGCTAGTCCTACTTCTTATAAGTTCTGCTTGTACTTAGGGTTTAAGACCTTGTTTGTACATCTGCATTAAAGCGTTATCGTCCTAGTTAATAACTACCTAGTACTGTTAGAACAGAGTAGTGTAGTTAGCAGCAGACTGCGTTTAGCGCAGTTGTTAAATCTTCTGCTTAGCGATTACTTTCTCTTAGTAAGGTAAGAAGACTTCGCGCATTCTAATCTTAAAAGCGTCCTAGTCTTCGACTAGATGCTTATTGTTGTTATCCTTAATGGCGTTGTCTATGTATTAACAGATAATTAGCCTAGACTACTCTCTAGCGTTGCCTCGTAGGAACGTAGTAGCCTAAACAACTATGTTATTGTCGTTAACCTTGTCGCCTTTAAGGTAGAAGTAAGTGTTGACCTAGAGTAGCTAATCTTTGAGCTTGTAGCGTTCTCTATTGTAGATGTTAGGTTTGTTACTCTTGCTAGTAACTTTCATAGCGTAGGAAGCGGCGGAGGTGTCTATCTTAGTATTACTTATCTTAAGGGTGTTTAAAGTGTAAAGGTCGTCCTAAGATAACTTAAGAGTTAGTTCTTAGGGAGTGAGTGAGTAAGGTAGGACGGGTTAGTATACTAGCATAATTAGTAGATTGATGTAATAGTACAAGGGTGTAATAGCACGTTTAGTAGAACGATGTAATATTACAAGGGGTTAAGAAAGAAGTATAATCCTTAAATTAAATACTAGAGTCTTATACAAAGTTAAACACACTAAGCTATAAGGGTTTAGTGTCTAAGCTATATACTTTAATAAGTGTTGCGCTCGTAGACGAGCGTGTAAGTAATCGTAGACGAGCAGTAATGTGTCTTACTAGTTATTAGTCTA